GTTGAGTACGGGTATAAAAAGTCGTTTTGGTCCACAGAGGCAAGAAAAAGGTCTATTTTGTCGAGTGTGTTATCAGCTTTCCTCTCTCAGCCGAAGCCATCACTGCTCAAATACGAAGACGAAATATCAGCCGAAGTCGAAAGCTTATGAAGATAAGCTTTAAGCTTCCCAACAAAGGTATCGAGATCCATAGCTCGAGAATATAAAGACAGTTTCGTTTGAGACTTTCTAACATTGAGTTGGGGAATTCACTATCATATCTAAGTACTAATATAAGTTCTGTTAAATAAAAACATCCTTTTTTAAAAACCTACTTTTGAAAACTGGAATTCTTATTATATTTATACTAGCGGACCCGGCGAACGTTGTGTGTAGAAAAAAGTATTGGGCTTCTGGAGATCCCGACAACCTCCTCAACCTAACCTAGTTTAATAGGTTGGAATCATGAACGGCGCCCCTAAATTAGGGCAAATGCAAATGCACCCTCTTTTGCACTGCGCTGCTTCCGAACATACTCCGCCCGTTGAAGATCCTTTAGATCCTTCTCTGGCAGCCATGTTGTTCAGCTGTTGCTGTGAAACTATGCCCGACTCGATGAGAGGTGCCATTACTCCAGCGAGGGCGACTTTAGAGGTTTAATATAAAACTTGCGAGACTGAGGCACCTCTCCTGCAACTATTCATCCTAACCTGGGTTCTTGAAGGCGCGGTAGCTCAGCATCCAATAGTGTCCAGACACCGAAAAATCTGACTCTTCCTTCTGTGCCTGAAACTGTTGAGAAGAGATGAGATGAGATGCACCTATGATCCAGAATAAAGCTGGGCACGGCATGGAATCATTGTACCAGAGCGATTCATCACGCTGAACACGGCTGGTTGCGAGTAGACAGCGTTTTTGTCTGCTATTTGTGTACATATCGTTCACGTGCTCCATACTATACAACAACGAGCATTTCTCCACTTGGCATGGCTCTAGCCATGTCTCGTCACAAACAGCGGAGTGGCAACGGATCTACGCCGTTCGGGAACAAAAATCAAACTGATATACGCAGAGACACCGAACCATGGCTCTGGCCACGTTTCTCCTCACAATAGCGGTGCGTCAGCACCCCGGAAAATACAATAGCAACGCACGCAATTATTAAAATTAAGAACTCTCGATCAACAACTCTACCCATTCTGCATTATTTCGCAATCAGCAAAGATAGCACAAAATGCTCGGTCACTCACCTCCTGGCGATCTTAGGCAACCATTCGGCCTCAGGTCATCGATTTTCAGCCTAGTACAAATTATGCAAATTCGCACAGTCAACAAATCGAGTTTTTTAATTTTTAAAAAAGATTTTAGGGTTATATTGCTGTCTTTAAGTATGGGGAAGTAATGAGTATTTCGGCCAATAACCAAATTTTTTTATCGTGCACAGTACTTTTAACAGTTTCGCACAGTCGCAGTGTTAATAATGTATAAATTTTTAAAAATATAATATTCAACAATTTTAATTAATCATACATCCCACTGATAAATATTTGAGAATATGAATTAGTTTGACAGTAGACAAATCTTGTAATTTGTATCCAAAATGGAATATAATTATATGACACTTACTTGTCACATTAGCAAGATGTCCCTGAGCCTTTAGCTGTTCCTCTTCAGCTCTAACGAAGTACATCAATATATATCCGACACCAAACATAAATCCAATGGTTCCTAACAGCGAAAAAGCAGCAAAAAGGTGCTCGTCCTCTAAATTTTCAGATAAATAGTCAACTAAATATAGTAAGTGCGTTATCCATTTACTAAAAATTCCTTGAGAATGCTCGTCCAACAATTTCTGAAATTTAATTAATATTTAATTTTAAAGCTTATATGAAAATATGTGCAGTGACATACATTACCTGAACAAAAGCTTTCGTAGCTTAAAGCTTCTGATGCCTTTAATAGTTTTTGAATTTTGTGAGTGAGTCCTTTTTTCGTTTTATTTATTATGCTTTCAGTTGGAAGAGTAGAAATAAGTGTAGCATCCTGTTTAGCATCAAATACCCATTCATATTTCACGCGCGTATTATCACGACGCCAAATAATAACAATTTGTAGAAGGTTTTTGGCAAATGATCCTTTTGATAAAGCATTTATAAAATTTGGCTGTCTTTCCTGGAAGTGGTCGGGATAATTTCTTTGTTATGTAAATTTTGTTAAATTCAGAAAAAATTGTTCATGAAATAATACAAAATGGAAACAGCTAATGAGCTATTTCAGTAACGTATGTAGTGCGATCTAATTATTAAAAAGTCGATGATTGTTGAATATTAAATTGTTCGATATGCGAAGTTTATTATGCGATACAGAGAATATGAGGATAGAAAATGGTTGGAGTCAGCATTACGACGACTCAAGACGGGGTCAGATTAAAGGCGCGGGGGGTCGGTTCAAGACGATGTCTTGTTGAAGAACTTTTCGATGTGCAATAGACGATGTGCAAGAAGAGAGTGCTAGATCAAGACTTATCAAAGGCCAGGCGGGCCGAATTTCCCTTGCCCTAATGTCAATGGGAGACCGAGAGAGCGAGAGTAAAAGCGAAGGAAAGAAAGAAAGGCAGATGAAGACGAGAGAGACCGGCTGCATAGGCTGTTGCTGTGTGGGAGCATATACATGTACATATGTAGATGATAATGTTAAACAGTGGGTGGTGCAAGTGACAAAAAATAATACGATTTACTGTACCACTATGATTTGGCCATAATATAGACAATATATATAGTTTTAGCGTATTTTTTAAATTTTGCATGCCACAGATTTTCGTCCTTTGCAGGGGCGTAAGGGGGCGGGGCGAAATTTTGAAGTACACTTGTAGCAGTGTGATATCACATGAGACTGGAAACAAAATTTGGTTCCTCTATCTTTTATAGTCTCTGAGATCCATGCGTCAAACAAGACGGACAGACGGACAGACAGACATGGCTCTATCGACTCGGCTATTGATGCTGATCAAGAATATATATACTTTATGGGGTCGGAAACGTTTCCTTCTCTGCGTTACACACATCCACTTTTACCTCAAATCTAATATACCCCTTAACTCTTTTTTGAGTACGGGTATAATGAAGAAATTAATTTTCAGTTGCTTTCCCCACCTACTTCAGCCAGAAATCCGCTACTCATTCTCTTTCTCGCTCGCACACTCTGCCGGTCCCAGAACTTACACGTTCCTTCTCGTTTTAATGAATATTTAACCAAAAACCAAAACCCAAACATGAAACAAAAAATTTTAAGTAAATTTCATAATTTTATTTACTATCAAAGAATAGAAGAAGGGTGTGTACGCTTGAAAAAAACAAAAAAAAATGTTGATCAAATTTTTGCCCAGCCTAATAGATACATATATATGTACTTCTTTACTGTGGAAGCTATATGACAGTGTTATCCCAAAAAATCCTACTGAATTAAGCAAAAGTATACATTTGTGAAATTTTAGTTGGGATTTATTTAGTGATCTACTTAAAACTGTAGTGAAAACTGTACCTATAGTATTTCATCAGTTAAGAACGACTTTTTTCGTATTTGCCGCGAAAAAATAGATTTTTTTCTGACGTAGTAGGCGAAGTCGGAGATCAGTTCTAAGCTCGAGATATCGACGAAACAATCAATTGAGTTATTTGTTTGACTTATGCCTGCTAATAGACGATTAAATAATAAAGATAATAAAGATAAAGATAAAGATAATAAAGATTAAGTAATAAAGAGTCCGAATGTCCGTTATTATCGAACTAAATCGCACCAACATTCTGTATACCCTCTGTTAAATCTCATAACCAAAACAATGCAGTCTTTCTCAAAACGCGTACATCAGAAACGCCAATATTTCATTAAAAATACCGCAAAAAATCATAATTTTTACATTTCAATGTATATATCCCAGACGGTAAGCTAAAATCACAGAGTGTTTGGGCTTACCTTGTAGCTCCGATGATCCTATTGGGCTTTGAGGTGGTTCAGAGGGGGCCTAGCTGAGGCCACCGGACGGGTCTCAGGTTGCGGATAGCGAACGGCCTACCCTAGTGGGTAGGTCAGCTGCGAATAAGCGGGCATCCCAAAGAGTAGCAACTAAGTTGGCTCTGAGGGAGTGTACCGAAATAAGCAGTCCCGGACAGCCAGCGGGTGTTCGCGACGCAGCAACACTGACGATGCGCTTGTGGTGCCGCCTCTCATTAAGTAGCTCACACAATCCCATCCCTACACAATACCTACCCACATCCCAGCCCCAACACTCACCTCACACCGGGCCGGACTAAGGTGTCACTCGACCCGTGCCAAGAGTCAGCCTGGCTGGGGGCCCGGTATAAAACTAGCCCAGTCGTGAACGGAGAGCTCACTTGGCAGCCCCCTGTTCTAAATTATGCCTTACCCGGGTAACGCAGAGCTCTGCCGGGGTGGACCGTTCCCCTTCTCTGCAGCTCGTGGGATCTATATGGAAAAATACGAAAATATAAACAACAACAAAAACAAAAACGAGAGAGGCCCTTCCAAATGCCTGCAGGGAGAAATCCCAAGCGGGAGAAGGCAGCGGCCCAAAGGCCTGGCCCGATCCGCTCAGACGCAGGAAAGACCTGCACGGTGAAGGACGCGGGTATGAATCCGGGGTGGGTCCCATCCCAAACCTGGGATGGGTGGAAAGCCAACACCAAAAACTGATACCATGGTAGGGCAGCTAAGCAATATTGCGGCTGCTCAACCTTCCGGTGAAGCGGCGGGTGATGGCTTACCAGTGTCCAACTAATCCCAGGAAAGCCAACTGGGATACATATAGTGCAAAAATGGAGGAATTACTTCCCCCCTAGCCACAAAATGCCCGGACACACAAGACGATCTTAATCGTCTTGTGGACAATTTCACGGAAGCTTGCAATAAGGCCTTCATGGCAGCTTGCCCCTCAACCAAACCAAGAGGGAAAAAGAAACCCCCCTGGTGGTCTAAACATATAGATACCCTCCGGAAAGACTGCAGGACTCTCTTTAACAGAGCCAAAAGCAGCAGCGAGGAAGCGCACTGGGAAAATTACAAAAGTAAGCTAACCCTATACAAAAAAGAAACAAGGAGAGCAAAAAGGGCCTCTTGGCAAAAATTTTGCTCCGAAATTGAAGACACGTCAGAAGCCGCAAGGCTACGCAAGATCCTGTCAAAAACATCCCCTCGGTTGGATATCTCAAGAGAACGGATGGTACGTGGACAAACTCTAGTGAGGACTCCCTACACATTCTACTCGATACTCATTTTCCTGGGTGTACGACCATCGAGCCGGCAGACACCCCAAGTGAAGGCCGGAAACCTCGATGGTGCACATCCTCACAAAACGGAATATTAGCTGGGCAGTAAACAGCTTTAAATCCTTCAAATCGCCTGGCCCGGACCAAGTCATTCCGGCTCAGTTACAAAAAGCCGGGGACATGGCCATCAACTGGCTGCAAGGTATCTTCAGGAAGATACTGACAGTGGGAAAAATCCCCCGCGCTTGGCTAAAGGCTAAAATAGTCTTTGTCCCCAAAGCAGGGAAACCCTCACACACAACCCCAAAAGACTTCACACCAATAAGTCTATCGTCCTTTCTTCTCAAAACCTTTGAGAGACTAGTCGGGCTGCAGCTAAGAACAACCATAAATCCTCAGTGGCTGTCAGGCGGCCAACATGCCTACCGAAATGGAAAATCCACGGAAACGGCACTCCATGAAGAAATCTCGGCGGTAGAGAAATCTCTACACGTCAAAGAATACTTCTTAATCGCTTTCCTAGACATTGAGGGAGCTTTTAACGTCATACCAGGAGCCATCACAGAGGCCCTGACTGACCTGGGAGTGGATCGTCACTTGGTGATGCTCATAGATCAATTGCTCACATGCAGGACAGTGACATCATCAATGGGATCGTCCACTCAGTCTAGGTATGTCAACAGAGGCACCCCGCAAGGTGGTGTCCTGTCTCCCCTTCTATGGAACATAGCAGTCAATAAGATACTGTGTGACCTGGAAGGGGGGGGGGGCTGCAAGGTGGTAGCATACGCGGACGACGTTGCCATTATTTTCTCGGGAAAATTCCCTCAAACACTCTGCGATCTAATGACCGCAAAGCTCGCGCGACTGTTAGAATGGACAGAGTCGCGTGGACTGGGAGTTAATCCCTCTAAAACGGAACTTGTGTTGTTTACAACCAAATAAAAAATCCCGTCCCTCAACCCCCTAATACTAAACGGATGCAGGCTCTCCTTCAGCGACACTGCCCGTTACTTAGGGTTGGTAATTGACAAAAAGCTTGGCTGGAACCTGAGCATCAAAGACAGAGTGAAGAAGGCTACGATAGCCCTCTACACTTGCACGAAGGCCATTGGGCTAAAATGGGGCATGAACCCAAGAATAGTCCAATGGATTTACCTAGCAATAGTAAGACCAATACTGCTCTACGGAGTCGCAGTGTGGTGGCCTGCCCTATCGAAGGGGACCATCACTAAACAACTGGGCAAGGTGCAGCGTACTGCAGCCCTATGCATCAGTGGAGCTCTGAGCACAACACCAACGGATGCGCTAAATGCTATCCTATGCCTGCAGAGCCTTGACCTTGCAGGTAAGGAGCAGGCAGAAATGGCAGCAATCCGTCTTAGAGACTCTGACCAATGGATGTCACATCACACCGGTCATGCGTCCATCCTAAATGGAAACAAAATCGTCCCCACAAAAACGGACTACTGCGTTCCGAGGGAGTATACAGATACCCCCTTCGAAACAATCATCCCTCACAGAAACATCTGGCTTGAGGGACCACCTGGTCCAAAGGGAGCCATTCGAATCTTTACTGATGGCTCAAAGCTGGACAACAAGGTCGGAGGAGGAATCTACTCCGAACAGCTGAACATAAGACAATCCTTCAGGCTCCCGGATCACTGCAGTGTCTTCCAAGCGGAAGTCATAGCGATCAAGGAAGCTTTGAGCTGTCTTCAGGAACTAGCCCCTGCGGCAACTCATATAAATATCTACAGTGACAGCCAAGCTGCGATCAAACCGCTGAATGCGATAACAACAAGCTCGGCTACCGTGGCAAACTGTCGCAAATCTCTTCATGAGATGGCTTATCAGTTCGTCATCAGCCTAATATGGGTCCCGGGCCAC